ATAGTTTTCAAATGCTTACTAAGGTTTATAAGAATGTTAAAGAAAGTAAGAATAACAACAAAAGTACAAAATAATCTTAATTTTAAGGAAATGCATTACCCTATGACCTTTCCTTGATAAACCCCCACTTAGTAAGAGCATAACCCATCTCCTTTCTAGCAAACTGCGATTAATTCCCAGCCGTGAAGCAATTTGTTGGACAATCTCTGTGGCAATATGCTAAACATGACACTCAGTTGGGCAAACAAGAAGCAAACCCACGCCTCTACCATCACCCACTCGTAACTGTCGATTAGGCTCAGACAAAAGCCTCCAGATAGGTTGAGAGCAATCGATGGACGTTATATAGGGATTTGGTATACCAAAATACAGGAATGAGTTTATGCCAGGTGTTGAAATGCAGCCAATCAAGCACAGATAAAGGCCATGAAGTGCATATATGCAGAGGAGACTGTACCACAGGAAATTTCCATGGGCTTAGATAAGCTGGGATGCAAAATGGCAAGTGCATTGCGAAAAGTCAATACAGATTTATTTAGGCTTTTATGTAAGAGCTTTCTAAAGAATATTTACAGAATGTTGAAGATGAAAGAAGCTTTTATAATAATATTAGTTAGAATGGAAAGGCAATTTAGCAATTTAAGGGAAAAGCAAATACCAATAATTTATTTTAAATCTCTTTTTCCGTTACTCTTCTAACAAAACAAATCGTATCTTTAAGTCTAAGATATCTAACAAATCATAACATCGATCGGAATTCGCGGAATTTGCGATTTTCCAATCAGCTTAGATAGCGGATTACGGCAAGAACTTCCGTCTGGGAAGCAGTTACGGAAACTTTAATTGAAACTGCGCCGCAAAGTATGCAGCTAGATTGCACCCCCAAAGACCTCCCAACTGTCCCGCTAGCAACTTTCTTCACCCCCTTTTCCCTGCCCCACCCCAACCCCGTGAAAACACAAAGAGAAAACAGTTCACTTAACCAGAAAGCAACACGCAAGAACAACTCAAGGCAGCCGGAGGCGGGTAAACAGAGACTCAGAACCAGAATCAGGACGAATCCTCGCCCATGGAACTAACCTTCCCTCCGTTCACATGGCAAATTCTCACCCAGGACATGGCAAATAGAGCGATGTTAGTAAATATATATAACAGCACTTAAAGAATATTGTTATAGGATGTTAGGTTAGGAAGGATTGCAATTTCTTATTTTTGTGAAATTTATTTTTAGAAATATTTTAGAACTCATTTTTAAGACATATTAAATATTATATATTATTTTTAATAAATATTATTTTGCAGAAGCTAGCCCAACTTTCTCTCAGTGCTAATATAGCCAGAGGTAAGGGAAAGAGAAGGTTTTCGCTTGGCTCGTGGCATTTGAATTTCTGATGCATTTTCGATTTTTCCAGTAGCCCCCCTCTCATACGCATTTCCTCCCATTTGTGTTCTATTTTCTTTTGTTGCACAGAAATTGCAACATTGTTTATTTAACACTTTTCTGCTCGTCGTTATTGTTGTTGTTTTCGGTTTTTACTTGGCTGCGTATTTATTTTTGATTATACTGATGTGGCACTGTTTTTTTTTTTTGGGCAAGGAATTAGCTGAGAAACAAAGCAAAAACAATAGCTTAGGAAAATGAGAATGCTTAACCCTTAGTGGAACAAGGACATGCCATAATAATTATCATTTTGTTTGTAGTTTAGTGTAATTACACTTGGCAGCTGGCAGAGCAGAGACAACCGGAGCCATGAACTCGTCGTCGCGGGCGATGAGAATTAAAATTTCAAAAGGAATGCTCAACTTTGTCAGGGAGTAAGTAAACACTGAACAGTGGGTTAGTATATATATTAAGAAAGTTAGTTTTAAGTTAATCAAATTAAGGATCTAAGACAGATATAGCTATATACTCATAGACTGGGAATAAAACCATCGAAGGTGGGCATAGTTTTTAAGTTAAGTTTAGTCTTTAAACATAGTTACTGCGCTTAGTCTAAGGTTCTCCTTCACAACTATTACCTTTGATTTTTCATTTCCAAATTAAAAAGGATTAGCAATATACCCCCCACTGTCCCTTTACAGGACTCTGGTAGTTAACACCCAGCATGAGTGGAATCCCCAGGATAAAATAGTCAAGTGACAGGAGGAGGAGGACATAGCCCTCCTAGGTGGAAAGGAGGAAGTATCCTTTTCATTCCTTCACGACACTTCACCTGGCAACCGTACACCAGCAAAGCCGCTGCAATTGCATTTAACGATTAAAAGGAGAGCAGCCAAAAGGTATGTACTATGTGTGGCTAGCTATGTACAGTCATGGACAAAATGTTAGGGGATATCTTTTAGGGTTATAAGTAAAGGATATATTAATCTGAATATCTGTATTTTGGAACATAATTTATGAGTTTAAAATTTCATTCTTTTATATGCTAACCTTAGAAAAAATCCCCAACATCTACTTCTACTTCCTTAACCTCAATAGTAACTGTGTATAAGAAGGACTACAGGATGCCCTAGAAGCATTTGAACTTCATAGGCAGCGCAACTGTCGCATTTCCGCATTGCAAATTACTCCCTTTATTCCTGACATTTTTTGTAATTAAGATAAAAGCAAAGCCATGGCGGGAAAAGGAATTAAAAAGGACACAAAGCTCTTGAGTACTCGACAACAAAGCATTTAAAGGCGGCAATTGAGCAGGGACAAAGGCCAGTGGAAGGACCAAGTCTCGCCAGTCCAGGAAGAAAATGTCAACAATTGATTTAAGTCACGGATGACAATTTAATCTGCAGTCAGGACTGACTTACAGACTTCAAGGGAAATGAAGCTAGCAAGTACTTTATTTAAGAATTTAATATAGTTAGTGGTTATCTAAGAACAGATATTAATAATAAGTTGGTAGTGATTGATACATTTATGTATGTATGAATGTGATAAAGGTGTCTTTTTCAGCAAGTGAGTATTGCAGGAAAATGACTTACTTTTTCGATTGGCTTGTCATTTTAGATGTTGCCTGAAGTTAAGTTCATTTCTACATATTATATATATTATATCTAATAATACTTAATTCTAATAAAACTCAATCCAAAACCAGTTTCTAACAATGGATCAAAGAACGCCACAAATGACAGCTTAATCTTCAGCTCGTGATGACCTGCTGGGCGGAATGAAAAGGCGCTTGGAAAATTGTTAAATGTGGCATGCATAATTGCAACTAGAAAACGTCAGCTTATCAGAAAACAAAAAACCAAAAAAAAAGAGCAGCAGCGGACACGCCCCATGGAGTTGGCAGATCGCGTCGCAATCTACAAACCTCAGTCAGACAAAACAATTCCAAACGTCGGGCAGCTGCAACAGCCAAGCTCATCGAGGGCATTACAAGCTCATCAAAAACTCGGGCACAGACTCATCATCAGCGTCATCATCAACAGATCCTCTCCCTACCTCCCTTCTACCGCCCTTCCTCCCTTCCTCCCTCGATTGTCATTCAAATCCGAACCCGTTTCACATCAGCCGACTACTCCTGATATTTTTTGTGACATTTTCCATATTAAAAACGTTTTAAAAAACAACAAACATGCAGATTTAGATGCTAGATGCCGAGGGTTGATTTTCGGGACCAACAGCATCCGCGTTAAAATCTCCGCTCAGAACTGAAACATTTTGACCCAGGACCTTTGGGATAAACACTTTTGAAGTGGTCGAGCTGCAGTATCGGCGATTCGAAATCAACAGAAATCTCGATCTGCAGGGAAAAGTGGTCAGGGTCCAGGCCCATCTCCATCTCTAGTCCTTTATTTTGACAACAACCAAAATAATATTTTAAGGCAGAAAGTTGAGAGATCCTGGCGAGATAAGAAAACATATTTGATGCTCATGTGCTGGCTTTTGTTTTCATATTTTGACAGTTATTCAAAAAGGATATAAGATGGTTTTAAAGGATATGAAAGAACTATTTATTTGTGAGGGAAACAGCGTTTTAATTTGAAATGAATTCAGATTTTATCAATATTTTTAAAATGGTTTCAGAAGGCAAATCTTAAGCCTTACTAGGGACATACATTTTTGATACTTTTATGAAAAAATTATTGTTTATTTTTACAGTTTAATAAGTAAAAAGAGCAAAGTTTTACAGATTAAAAAGCATGTAAGAGATGTAAAGAAGTCTTTGCGTATCTTGATCTCAGTAATAAGAAAATTTTGATTGAACAAGCAGATTCTAAAGAAGTTGAGTAAGTCATTTTGCTTGAATTAAAATCTTTTTATAGTAATTAATATTAACTGTCTATCAACTTTATCATGCCAATTTTCCCCGAACACCATTGTCTTTATACGACTATATACCCGTACATACATATAAAATTGCAAGCAAGCTGTTTTTCAATAATCTTTTTGATAAGAATTATATTGCGATAAGCCGAAAAACGTCATATACTCGTATGCAGTAACATGCAAATCTTCATACTCTAGATTAAATAATATAACACACTTATAAGAATAATCACCTAAAGGGTGTTCGTTCGTCGAGTTGCCCTAACAGAAATAAACCTCAGCGTTAGAGTATAAATTAGGCTTTAAGCAAGCCAGATTGCTCAGTGCTAAAGGAAAGGACGATGGGGAAAGTCTATCTACTTTTATTGACCACACTTCTTGGTAAATATAGAAAAACTAATAAATGAAGTACAAATTAATCATTTATTTATTATACAAACAGCAAGCCAAGTGAGAGGACATTGCCAATTCTCGTTCAGAGACGTTTCTGGCTCCAATGGGATTTTCACCTATCAGGATAGCGAGGGTAATCTTCAACTACAACTATCATCGGTGGTAAAACAGGATGTAACCCTAACTATGCATTGTGGTGACGGGGAAATTCATTCAACAACCTGCAAAAGCAATGGCAAACGAAATTATTTCGATCCTCCGATGCCCCTTCGTTGCACAACAAAACCTCCTGAAGGCACAGTTGAGCTATATAATGGTGACAAAACCCCTTATGCTGATTGTAAGGAAACTATGTATTCCATTGGACATAAGATCGATGGAAAATTCCTGACTTTGTATGACGTGTGCTACGATACAACGGCTTTAAGAGCCCGTTTCTCACAGGCCAGAATATACCCAAAGAAAATAAGTGAGTGGTGAAAGAAAACAATTTAAATAGCAATTTAATCAAATATATCATTTTAATAGATCTTCCACGTCCGCTGGATAAATTGTTCTCTCCATCTCCAGTAATGTCGCCCTTTCATGCCAACTCGTTTTTCAAGGGCGAAATATACGATAGATTTAAGAAAATCTATGGGGAACGGCAAAACTATGTAGCCAATGGAGCTGAGGTTATTAATCGTGGACACCTGACCGCCTCCTCAGACTTTCTCTTCGAAGATCAACTAAGCTCAACATATAAGCTGGTTAACGTGGTGCCCCAGTTCGCTAGCATTAATTCAGGAAATTGGAACATAATCGAGAGGTGGGTGCAAAATCTCCCGGTGGATGACCATGGATTAATTGTTAGAACTGGAGCTTTTGGTGTTCTGAAACTAAAACGAGGTCGCGTTGACAAGTTAGCCTATCTTATCGAAGGCGCAAAGAATCCAGTGCCCGCATGGTTATACAAGAAAATAACCAAAACGAAGGCGGACGGAAGTGGGACTCAGAGCTTGGTCTTCCTGACCTACAACAATAGATATGAAATACCAAGCAGGAGCGATCATCGTTTTTGCACTAAAATTAATTGTCCTTCAGGACTCACATTTAGTACTGCAAGGGAAGCAGGTTACACAGTGTGCTGTAATGCGGCTACTTTCCAAGACCCCACCGCAGTGGTTTTGTAATTTTAATAAATATTATCATTTGGCAAAAGCAACTCAGTAATACCCATTAAACAAAAAGTAAAAGGGTATATTAGGGTTTTCGAAAACAATGTTACAAATTGGAGGTAGTACCCAGTTGTTGTTGTACTGAGTGCTCATTTGTTTTTCTCCCTTTCCGCCTCATTCCGTCGCCAACTGTAAAATATTTTGTTCTTGTTTCTTCCTTGCTATTACACTAGCAATTTTTCGTTTTTCTCTTTCCGCCCCAGTCCGTTGCTAACTGTTCTTCTGTCGTCCTCAAAATTTGCACTGGAAATAATTCCTTATAACTTCTGTTTCGCAGTGGAGCATCGACATGAGTGTTGAAATGAGTGATGAATTGGTTAGCAAGAAGAAGTGTTTTTCTTTCTCTCAGTGCACAGCTACGTACCAACACAAAAGCCCCTCTGCCTATGCTCAAGTTTTCTTTTATTTGTGTTAGTAGATGCTCTGCCGTAAGACGAGTTTCAGCATAAAATGTTGTTGAAATGTTTCTTTTTCATTGATTTTGTGTATTAGATAAGAATGTCTTTTTTTCTATGATTTTGTAAATATTACATTTGAACTCTCCCATTTTTAGTGCAGTTATCGCATTTATGTAAAGAGACCCGTCAATTAACGGCAATTTATATGGCCATGAGTTCCTGGCACCCGTTCCACCCTTCCTCCCCCTGTCTGGAGTTCTCAATATTTCCGTTTCCTTTCCGAAATAACGACTAAAGCGAAACAATTAACAATTGTTGTAGCTGCGCCTGCGCCCAGCGGACAACAACAGCAAACAAACAACAAATCAAAGTATAGAATTTATGTTTTTTTGTCCGATGTATTTTTGTTTTCTCTTTTTTTTTCATTCTATATGTGATGGCGCGAAATGGAGTGCGCTTTAATTTGCATAAATTACCAGTAAAGGGTTAAAAATAATGGGTGGTGGTGGTAGTACAGGGACGGGCAGGGTTGTCGAGAGTTGAAGTGGTCGCCTGCACTTGAAAAAATCTGTTGCAAATGTACAGACACCACACGAGCCACTCCTACCTAACTACCTATGAACCTCCTACCAGCTCCATTTGCTAGTCTGTTTTTGTTCTTGGACCCTGAAGTGGTTGATTGCATTTATGGACCACGGATACAGTTGCCCCCGGAGGCGATCTCTCTCTACCAATGTGGACGAGGTGTGTCCGCTCTGCTCGGCCGTGAAAATTGTAATGTACATGGCAATTCCATTTAATATAGACAGCATCCAGATGCTGGAGAGTTACGCAAATAGCCCGGGGCCCTGGGCAGGAGCTTTGGGTTAGCAATCATTTTAAAACCCGCATAATTGTCGGGATTTGCACGCCAAACGCGGGTGAGAAAATGCCGACATTTCGGGGTGGTGGTCGCTAAGGGGTTAATACTATATGTATGTGGATGATATGAATGGGAGGAGTGGCTGGGTGAACCTCTAAACGGATCTAGTGGTTATATACTATGTATTCATGTTGCTGGAATATCTTTATTTAGCAACTTTTAGTTGCAATACCAATTTAAAAAAGTTGTATAGTTTCAGAAAACATAAACTAGTATTAAATCCTTGGCAGATCTTCTCAGATCTGTATAAAACTCAATTCTAAACTTATGATATCGTTTAAAGCCCAATTAGATTTTACAAAATATGTATCTGCCCAAAGTTAGCTTAGATTCGAGTATTTGGAAAACGGCTTGGCGAACAAAGAGTTATATATTTTCTTAGCCTCTAGCTTGTGCCAGTTCTTAGTTAAAACTCTTCCATGACAAAATATACTTTTAAGAGGGAATTCTTTATCGACTGTGAACTTAATGCTTACCACTTCCAACCGCAATCGACTGACAATTATCGGGTATTTAATTTCGCGCAACAGACAATCGTTCCCCAACTCCAACCTCTATCAGTTTCCACTACCTTTTGGACTCTCCACGGGTGACAAATGCAGGCGCGGCATATATTGAATGTCAAAAAACCGCAATGATGGGAAAAAAGGTGCAAATGAAGCGCAAGGAAAAGTTCATAAAGGGAGAGGAGAGATAACATCAGCAGGCACCGCAGGATATTTCTGAGAGGAGGATTACAACACCACCCAAAAAATACAAAAAAAAGAGGCCTATAAAAAACACATATAAAATTAATCGCTCGCACGTGCAACGAAATCGAAATTCCAAAACAAAATTTCCAAATCAAAATCAAATCAATCCCCGCATACTTGAAATTGAAATCGAAGATTCCAGCCCGTCACGAAAGATGGTAATCACGATGATGATGTTGAGGCTGCTGCTGATGTTGATTATCATCACGATGATGGGCATACTTGACATGTCTATCAATAATATACATATACTGCCACCATAATTGCTTTTCATGCAGCGACGAATATAAAAGAAAGTTTTTTATACATTTTTGGCAATGAGCCATTAAAGAAACATCGAATGAGCTAAACAAACAATTTGGTAATGGGAATACATGCCTTTAATTATGTCATAATGGTGGCTCGTAATAGGCGTGCTGCTGTGAGCTTTTGACGTTAATTTGGAAAAAAAGTAGGGAAAATAAAATATAATTGTAACAAAATTGAAGTTAAGTGGAAATAAAATAAATTGTCGGGAATATAGTTTAGGTATTTAAGGGGAAGGCATATGGTCTGGAAAGCTAGTTGTGGTTTTCTTCGTTGTTATATAATATTTGATTTTTTTAGGCGACCCAGATGGTCACTGTTAGATGTTTCACTTAAATATGTTTCAGTTGTAAAAATTAATTAAATACCTATATATAGTTTACCTCATTAACTTATGTAATCTCATGCAGGAGATTCATATTATATTTCAAAAAATTACTTCACTCAGTTAAAATCATGTAAGTTACATAGATAATGATATGAAGTTATGGGTTGAATAAACAATTCTTATTAGGATTGTACTTTATTATTTATATATGTACAATGATATAAAGCTCTCTACATGGAGTTCAATTAATAATTAAGAGTTAAAATAACTTAAATCAGGGGTGTTCCTATGCTCTGAGTGCTGAGCTGTTTTTTGTAAATGCTCTCTGCATATGGGCTTGCATGCCCTTAAGCTTTGAGCGCTCGCGGCGCTAGTTCCCCAACAATTCATCGTTTTCGTCTTTCTGTCTCATTCCTTCGCCAACTGCAATATATTTTGTTCTTGTTTCTTCCTGTATAATCCTCGAACTCCTTGTTATTCCACTAAGAATTTTTCGTATTCCTCTTGCCGCCTCATTCCGTCGATAACTGTTCTTCCATCATCCTCGGACACTTACACTGGAAATTATTCTTTATTACTTCTGTTTGCACTTTGGAGTTTCTTTCGCATTTGGCGAGTCAGTAAAATGAGGGATGAATTGGTAAGCAAGAATAAGTGTTTTTTTTCTCTCAGTGCACAGCTGCAAACCAACACAAAAGCTTCACTAACTATGTGCACTTTTTCTTGGTTTTTGTGTTAGTAACTACCCTGCCGTAAGACGAATAACTTTTTAGAGACTTTTTCGCCTAAGGGCATTAATAGGGTTAATAGGCTTATAAATTAAACATAAATTCGATTTAGAAACTTGCTTAAAAATTCCAATATGCAAGTACATAGTTAAATACATTTTAAGAGGGCAAAAACCTATTATTTTAATAATATGAAATTATGATTTGGTTCTTGGGTTTATGTGCTGCATAAATTACTACACAGATCACAGACCTGATATTAAGATTCCCCTTTCATCTCAAAAATCAATTTAAAAAATCAAATTTTAATATCACCCCTCCCTTCCACCCTCCAGCAACATGTAAATGCAGTTTAACATCTCCTAAAATAGCAAAACAACAAAAAATCATTAGTGTACACAAAGGAGGCACTTCACTTTGTCCAGTCGAGACTCATACGAGGAGTAAGTACTGTAAAAATCCGAATCATCCACCAAAAAACAGCGAGAATCATAAATAATCGTTGACAAAACTTCGACTAAGGTCGATTAACCATCCCTCGAACGTAGGAGGTCAACGCGGGGAGGTCACTCGTAAAAAGGCCGTAAAAAAATAGTGAAATCGGCGTTACATAACTTCGCATTAGATGCATGATTTATGGACAGCTGGACGAGGGGAGACAGACGACTGTGACTCGTAAAGGACTTGACTGCCACTGCGCCTGCGCACAGCTTGACAATCCGAGGCACTTGAGGCTAATTTCCCAGCAGTTGGCCAGGCGAATGAAAATATTTTTTAATTAAAAAATCGACATGCTTTGGCCGAGAGAGAATATTGAATGAATAAGTAAGTGACTGACTGGATGAATGGGTCCACGAATGAATGAATGACAATATGTCGTCGGTGCACAAGCGTATTGAGTTTCCCTCCCCCCCCGCGAGACACAAACATGTTTTTCAATTTTCATGCGAGAATAATTTTCGCGTGTGCGGAAAACGGAGTACAGACCAAATGACAAAAACACGTGCTCGCCGAGCTGTGAAAATGGCCAAGTGGAAATCGGACACTGGACATGGCATTGACCATGCGCCACAACGGGTCGCTGAATATCGCACATTTTTGCGGCTATGGGTTAGATTTGTAATGGCTAACAATTTGAGCTACTTTGAGAGATTTTAGTAGAATCAAATTATATAATCTTAAAGGGAAATTAAAAGGGAAATTCATATCGACATGACAAAGCTGATGACTCCCTTGGGCTAGCTGACAGTCTCACTTTGATTCGTTTTTTATGTTCTTCCTATACAAAATTGTAACTTTTCTTTCACCTTTTTCCGATATCAGGCCAGAGCGCATTCCCTTGGCGATCATCTGCCTGAAAATTGGAGTTGCATCACATTAATCTCCTCGACTGCCTTCCGATCGCATACCAGCCACGCCCCTCAACCCTTGATAGCAGAAAACAATGCAGCTCGAGCCACCGAACCACTCAACCATTGAACCACTTCAATGGCTGGATTGGGACATAAATCTTCAGATGGGACTCGGGAAATTTGTCACTTTCACCGCGACAAAAACAATTGACAAATGTGCGCAAAAAAGCGGGGAAAACTCTGGAAAAAAAGAGGCAGAAAAAAAGGATAATGCCAGGACCAACCACAATGGAAAAGATTTTCCAAACAGAGAAGCGCAGTGAATTTTACGGTAAATTGGCTGAGCACAAAAGGCAACCGCGAGAAGTCCTTTTAATCCTTTTTGGTGTACAAACTAACGGCAGCGAAATTGCCACTCAAAAGGTGAAAAACCGAAAGAAAACATTGCCAGGATATGAATGGACATAGTGTCCTGCTGCGAACGGCACGCGCTGGCTAAAGGGAGAACTCAAAAGCAGCTGCGCCTGCGCCAAGGAAAGTGACCAAGGGAAAAGGGAAAAAGGGGTCGAAAACTGCGGTTGGCAGTACAAATTGAAATGCCAAAATCATTTCCATTGGCCGGCATTATAATTACAAAACCAACAAATGCGATTAACTGGACTAGAGTCGGGACTCTAAAATGGCAGGGGGTTCAGTTTTGAGTAGTAAATTCACGCCTCGCTACACAAAAGCGCTGTAAATTATATTGTTAGACGGACGGCCAGACGGACAGACGGCCAAACTGACGGACTGACCACCGTCCAGTTTCGTTTCGGTATCCGTAAAATTGCCAAATTCCCATAATTGCAGCTCCTGAAACAATGACGAAATTTACAGGACATTATATAGAGCAGGGACAGGACCCTCGTCAGGTAGGAGGGGAGGGGTGGTGGTGGTGGATTTTATTAGTTTGCTGTCATATGCTCATCGGCTGTTTGTTTAGGATGCTGGATGTACGGAGCAGCAACAGCAGCGGACTGGCTAACACGCACAGGACATGACAGGACATAATCATAAATATGGCAACTAAATTATGAAATGGGTAAGCCACTCCCCCTCGCCAAGGCAAAAGGTTTTCCTTTTCCCAGGGCAATGCCTTTCGGTTATGCTCACCCAATTTCGAACTCTTTTCATGGGAAATCTGAAAATATAATTATTAAAAACAGTTTTTAAAATTAATGTTCATATTTTAGAATATTTTAGCTGTCGAGGTATTTATAGAAGAGTGTTTTTTTTAATTAGTTTAATTTATTTAATCTATTTAAATATGTTTATATATATATAAATGTTATTTTTAAGCCAAATTCTGTTCAAAAAAAGGTTTTTGCTACATTTTTATATTTACGTATTTGATAATGATATTTATTTTTTATTAATAAAAAGTAATTTTGGTAGCTAAGAAATTCAGAGAATAATTAAATCTTCCTTTGAAGTTAAAATTAAATAGCTTGAATGTTAAATGGAGTCCCTAATTAGATCTCGTTTAATTGGCAAGAAAGTGTATAACCAAAGCTAAACTAATTATTAACAATAAAATTTATTTGATATTCACGTAACTTTAGAATCTTAATTGGTGAATAATAAGGTTTTCAAGCTCTCAATGGAACCATTTTAATGGTTAAACTTAATCGGACTTCTTATGTTAAAAATTAGTATTCATTTGTGTAAGTTTTTTAAATATTTTGCCTTAACATTTTCGCTGCATAACATTTTCCTTTTTTTTTTTATAATAACCATGGCCTGCACTGCTTGCTTAATGCAGAACTGCTTTGAATAAGCGCCATTTATATGTACGGTTGATTTGGGAACTAGAGGGTGCTTTCACACATTCATAGCTATTAAGACATACATGTAGCTTGTGTAAGATGTAGATAACATGTAGACTTTGTAATAGGGCCTCTTGTAAATACTACTAAAATACTAAATTGATTTTAATACCAAATTGCCTTATTCGACACGATACGATAGGGGGCGCTGACAAGGAAAACTTTCCAATAAATTTTAGGTAAAAGCGAGAAACTATATAAGGGAAACTCACCCTTGAATGCTTAAAATATCAGCTTATGTTGAATAATAAAGACTAAGTTACCTTATTTAATATTAGTTGTCGTAGATAATATTTAAAAGTAAGTATAACCACCCTTTCTTCCATGAATCTTAGCGGAGTTTTCACCAATTTAACTTAAAAAGAATTAAGGTTTTACTTCATATTAAATTAGATTGCATAATTCTTGTCATATTGAATATCCTGATTATTTACTTTTTGATGTAAGACTTTTCGACTTTAGCAGTGAAAATAAAGACAAAGAACTCTTTTTCTATCTCCACAGAATTGGACTTTCTTTAGATTGTCCTTAACAAGTCTAATAATTTTAATATTCCCATTTTTTTACTGACAAATTGCAGTTTCCTTTTAAATAAAACACATTATAAAAGTACGTACGTTGTTTTCTCGTTTATTTGTTAGTTCTCCATGTTTGTTAGGGGGGTTACTTGGGGGGGTACATACGTGTATACACAAACAAGTCCAAGCAAAATGAAATCTCCACCCCTATAGGGGGGATGGAGATGGAGAGGGGGTACATGTATATCCTAGAGGGTCCCGTAAACAATGTTCTACGCATTCATCAGCTACGAATAAGGGCGAAACTAAGGTGGCGACTCTGTGGCAGATCATCTGAGATGCTCGACTATATATCGGGTGGGGTGGGGTTCTGGATCGAGGCTCGATTATGGATCATCTTAGTTAGGTGCGTGCGTCTATATTACCTTCTATATATATGATCTTCAGTGAGTATAATTATCTGGTGTTCGATTGTGTGTGTGTTGTGGCTTTTAGTGATATTTTCATTTTGCGATATTTTAGTAAAATTTGATTGCATTTCTGTATTGTTTTTATCGTTTTTATCGATAATGTTTAACACTTATGGGTTAACGTTTACGTTTGAAGTGCCGGCTAATGTGGTCTATCTGAACAAAAGGTTAACGGATCAAAGAAATCGTAACTCGTTCGTTATATCTCGTAAACTTTCGCCTTGGATTCACCATTCAATGGCTTAAATTTCTTTGGCTTTGTTTTAAGTTCTGCTTCTTCTTCTTGATTTTAGTTCTTATTATTTATAATTTATATATTTAAAACACGCCCCCGAACACACGTTTGGGGGCTTAAAACGATTTTAGGCTACAGTAAAACATTTTCAATGCGCGAAGCTGCGAAGCTTTCAAGTCTTAACTAGTTAATTAACTACCAAGTAAAGTGTATAATTCGGTATAATTTGGGGAAAACGGTTTTCCCTTTTTCTTTGTTTTTTTTTTTTAAAAAAAAAACCAACTAAGCAGGGCGAATTTCCCTTTGGTTTCTCCGTGTTGTCGTGGCTTAGCAGTCTAGAGATTAGCTTCGGTGAAGAAATATTCTAATTAATTTCGAATTGCTGTAAAAGCAACCGGCTAAAGTTCAATATAAAGAGAAAAATATTATTGTTACCAGAAGAAAGCTTTGAGTGTGGATTTAGCAAAGGCGGGAGCAGCCCAGTTATATATATATATATTCCTTCGAGTGAGTGGGTGTTTGTGTGAGTTTTGTGTCGAACCAAGATTAGAATTGCCTTACCTTAACCAACACTGGCAGTGGGGGAGGTGTCGGAAAAGTGTTTTCGGAAAGAGTTTAATTTACGAAGTTTGAACTTTAATTCATGATCTTTAATAGGGTAACCAAGGAAGGAAGGATCGTGGTAACTTGGTTTTATGAAAAAGTAAAGCCAAAAAGGAAAGTCTGCCATAGGAACGGCCTTGAAAGGGAAGAGAAGAGAGAATACCCTTTTCTGGAAATAGCCAAAAAGGGGTTATTTTGAATATTTAAACTTTGGAATAACCACAATTTGGAGTATTAAAACTTTCAATGGAGTAAATTTTTATCCTTAAGAAAGTAAAGTTTCCTTCCCAAAACCCTTTCATGACACCTCCCCCACCTGGCCATCTCATACCTAGCCTAGTAGTTCTATAACTTTATGGTTCCCCGTTCGATTTCTGTTATTTTTGGTTTCTTTATCACATGCTTTGCATTTCGGCTGCTCAAAACGTGTCTGTGTGTGAGTGTGCGTGTATATAGTATGATCAGGATCAGGATCAGGATCAGGATCAGGATCATGATCAGGATCAACCCCTTTAGAGCTTGTCGAGGTCGGGCTCTTCCGGATCGGTTGGACTGATCGGGGACATCTCCACACTGTCCAAGAGCGGAGTCTTCTCCTCGCTGCAAGTACTGCCCGGGGCATCGTCCATGTCCATTACAAAGATCCTGGAGAGATCGGCCCCGCTGAGGGTCAATCTGGAAGGGGATTCATCCACCGAGCTAGTGGTGCTGCTGCTACTATCACTGCTGGTGGTGCTGCTGCCTTTGGTGGTAGTAGAGCTACTTGTCTGGGCGGTGCTAGCCTGGTTGGGATGGAGGCTGGGGATGGCGATGGGGGCGATGCTCTGGTCGAGGGACTTGGAGGGCGTGCGATAGCTGGCAGTTGCCGAGTTGGCCACTAAATTCGATTGGCTGGACTGAGCGGACAGCGAGGTGGTCTTAATATTGGTCGTCTTCAGGTGGCCGCCAATGGAGCAGCTGCTGCTCCATCTGCCACCCTGGTGATAGTGGTGCTTCTGGTGGTGTTCCTTCTGATTGTACTGGATGCCGCATTGCCGTAACCCCTGACCCTGCGATGATACCGTCGGATTATTGTCATCGTTGAAGCTCATCTCATCCTCGCTGTGTGTGTTGTTAATGGCCGTTTGTTTGAGTCGCACCAGATGCCGCTCGGAGTACGATTTCCGGGCATCCATGACTCTTAGATAGTCCGAGGACTCGCCCAAGTCCTCGCTCTTGGAGCTGCAATATCTGGCTGAATTTCTGGAGCCACTCCCATTGCCACAGAAACTGGTGGTCACACTTAGCATCTGCTGGCTGCCACTGAGCGATCTCCTGCTGGCCTGGGAGCTGCTTCTGCTCTCATACTGATTATCCCGCAGGGAACAGGGCGATATCCTGGGCGACGGATTGTTCTCCATCAGGGAGTCGTTGCTTTTGGCGATTCGATTCTTCCTGTAGAACTTACTGTCCCGCCAGAGGGTCTGTCTTCCGGTTCGCTGCATCTCAATGCAATTGCCCGGCTGACTGGGGGGCGTTTGGCTGGTGGGCGTAGCTGTGGGCGAGTCATGCCCTTGACCCTTGCTGATGCGAAAGGAGGCGTGCGTGAGCTTTTTGTACTTCTCACTCTGCATATTGACGCGATTGTCCGAATGGGTGCGATCCGCCATCGGCAGGAAGGCGTTGTCGATGCGACGCTCCTCTTCCAAGGAGCGAAAGGCCAGCCGGTTGACGTGCTTCAGGTGCTGCTTGTCGGAGGTCCGCTTGGGGGACATGTCCTCGAAGGAGCTCACCTGGAAGGGAGACTAATTAAGCTTTCATTCAAGACTATCTTCAGGGAGTAACTAAATTAATATTTTAATATTAATTACTAACTAATTTTTAAAGTTTTTTAAGATTTACTCACCCGGTACTTCTGAGAGAACACCTCTATCATCCCCGATCGCTTCGAGGGCGATGTGGTGTAGATGGAGTTCTGATCGTTGACCAGGATCTTGGGCGGATCGAACTGCTGCTGCTGCTGCTGGGGATGTCCCTGGCCATGACTCTGGCCCTGACCCTGACCCTGACCCGCATTGCTGGTGGAGGCCAAAGAAGAGCTGCTCGAATTACTGGTTGCGGTGACCAAAATCTTCGGCGAAAGCGAAACGGGAAACTGCTGGGGACGTATGTTTCCAAAGGATCCGCAATTAGAGCCAGATGAAGTGGAGCCCGTTCCCGACATGGCATCGTCGATGTGCAGGAAGTTGTTGGGCGAACTCTCGCGGCAGGGCGAGGATATGGCTGAATCCTGGGACACCATACTCCTAGGTATGGTGGCCAGTTCCAGGCAGGTCTCATTGCCACCTGTGGTGGTGGCTATAATGACATCCTCCACGCCCTCGTCAATGGGCGATGAAATGGACTGGAAGCTGCTCAACCGAATGCTAGACGAACCAATGGAAAGGTCGTTATCGGTTAGAGAGCCAAAGGCCGAGTCCTGGGAGGGATTACTGCGCCCGTACTTGAGGCACTTGAGGGAGTACTCCAGCCTCCGACTCTTCGAGTTCTTGTAGTTGCACATGTCGGCCGTGAGTTGGTGGTTGAAGGAGGCCCCAGCAGCCGAGGAAGTGCAGGCGGGGGCCTGCAGCCTTTGCGTACCCGACGAGCCACTGGCCTCTTCTTCCGGCTCAAAATCCTCCTCTTCCTGCTCCTCATAGACCTCTGCCACCGCACCCTCGGCTAGCAGGAACATCCAGGTTGCTCTGACTGCTGGTGCTGCATCGAATGGTCGGCGGTTGGGGATCCTGACCCTGCTCCTGTCTATTATCATCCGAATAGAGGGCTGCCGGGTCACAATAGTGGATGGGCGATTCCGAAGCGTACGAGTGGACATACGAGTGGGCGGAGTGCCATTGCTGCAGGCGAAGCAAGTGCTGCCGATGGCAGCTTCCACCCACAACAATCTCCTCCAGCAGACCCTCCTCCGAATCGCTTGATATGTCAAATGAGTCCATTGTTCGGCTGATACTGTGGGTCAGGTGGGTAACCCAAGGGGGGCAAATACGCAAAATAGGGAAGAACGAGAAAGGGAAAAAGGGCAGAGAATAACAATCAGAAATTTCAGAATTTTTCGTTCCGATCCGGCAACGCCACCGGCACCTGATTCGATTTTCTTTTGTGTGTGTGTGTGTGTGGTAGGGGGAGGGGGATATGCAGAAAAGCCATGGCATGTCATTGTATGCGATGAATGCATTGATGGGTTTGTGGCTATGTCTGCGACAGTGTGTGTATGTGTTTGTGCTGCACTATAAGCATCAATACGTGCGTGTTTTCAATCAAGCTCAAGTTGGCTGCTCTGCTTTCTGGTTTCTTTCTCCAGAAACTCAATTAGTGACCCAAAAAAGTGGCTAGTACGGGGAGGGGGTGGTAAGGATCTTGGAAAAGTTTCTAGACAGGGTTATCTTAAAGTGTTTTAAACTTAATTAGGAAGGAAATTTAGGATGTTCTTCTACTCATGTTGCATAGTTTTAGTTTCTAGTGGGTTTATTAGGAATATTTAGCTATATGAGTTGACTAGAAAAAAGAGTAAAAGAGTTGTTAACAACAAGCTTTAAGTTTAGAGACCTTTTCATTTCGTTACTCTAAAGTTGCAGCATTTAACTTTTATCGATTGTCTAACCCAATCAAATGGTTTTCAATCACAAACATAGATATTATCTAGAGCATGCAGTAAACAACATAAACAAAAACATTGAGCACTTTACAAGCTGAAATGGGATTTTGTTGGAAAAAAGAAAGAGACTCACAGCAGGGAAAACAACATTGAAATTTGCTAAATGCCAATCGGCAGATACATACGACTATAATCTAAAAGCAAATGTAAACAAAAGGCGTTGCATAATGCGGTTTGCCGATGTTAAATAAATAAATATTTATATTTCCAATGTACTGCTGCTGGCCCGCCTTCAGGTCGATGCAGTGGTTTGATTAAGTGGGTGCGGAGTGGCTTGCTAGCTTGCTGGGTGGTGCAGCTTCTCGTGATGATGGTGGTTGGAGCATACAAAAATCTTGCCACTTACCACACTTTGGGCTACAACAAACACAGTTAATTTGTAGCATATTTTCCGTCTGGTATAAAAAAACTTGAATTTTCGTACAAAAAGTGGTTGGGTTTTGCTTTTTTTTCGATTTGTATATTAATTTTATTTAATTTTATTAACTATTTCAGGTATTCGGTAAATTGGTTTTTACTTTACACGATATTCGTTTGTAAAATTGAATTGTGAGAGATTTTTTGTGAGTTTTTTAAAGTTGGTTTTGGGGTTTCAGGTTCGGATTTCTTTGGTTTGTTTTTTTTGGTTCGGTTCGATTTGGTTTAGGTTTCGATTTCGATTACAGTTTCGATTTCGATTACGGTTTCGATTTCGGTTTCGGTTTAGTACATACGAAAGACTTCATAGGGCGCAGGCAGAACACTGATGTTGTTGTTGTTGTTGGAGGAGTAGTAGTAGTAGTTGTTGTTGTTGTTGGATTTTAGTTAGTCGAACGGGTTATGTAAATAAACAAATGCAGAAATGCAAGAGTTTGTAAATCAAAAACAAAACACACACATAGGTAATGTAAACAAAAATGAACGTTGAGAGACATTCAAGAGCGGATCGGTATGTGTGTAGAAGATGATGGGTTTGGTGTAGCGGCAACTGTAACGGGAACTGCAACGGTAACGGTAACGGTAACGGATTTCTGGGCGCTTTCGCAACACTAAGATAGATAGAAAGATACACACACACACGCATACACACACAACAAGGTTGAGTAGTATTAGTAGTAGTAGTAGTAGTAGTAGTAGTAGTAGTAGGCGGTAGGAGAGAAAGAGAGAGTAAAACATTGCATACGGAAAAAATACTTTAGTTGAAAAAATCCTCCACTACATATGTATTTTGTTAATTGTTAAAAAAAAAACTAAAACATGCGTTTGAGTATTTAATTTATTTAATTATAAAAAATTATTAGTATTTTTTTTTAAGGCAGCAGAGTAAATTTACACGGGGTCAGAGATGCTTAAATATACATGAGGCAAAAAATGAGCACTTTTTTCCTGCATTTTCCTTTGTTTTTCATTCTTTTTTTGTTTTTGGGACTTTTTCTTTTGCTAGTTCGCTGGCTGTTTTCCCTCGTTTTTATCACTCAATTATATTCCCGTCTTGTATGCATAATTTTAAATTCAGCCTAAGGTTTTCCAGAGAGGGGGGATGGGTCAGATTGCGCAGAGTCCAGGACATTATCATAATTACCTTTAGACACGCACAGGCACACGCACATCGCCAAGCCTACGGCCACATTTCCCGCTTTGCCTTGGCTCTGAGCTTTAGTTTGTTTTTTTCTTTCTTTTGTTTAACATCTCCTCGGATGTGTGTGTGTGCTTTTCTCTTTATTAGCCCGAAATGCGAGTGCACACCAACTGGATTAGCAGGACCGGGCGGAGCTATAATTGGCGCCCAACATGGGGCTCAACTATGAGACATTCTACTAGGTTTTGTCTATTTGTTGCTATTCAGGATGTCTCTGCTAGGGATGTTGAAAGAATAGGACTAAAGATCTATCTTCAGATTTAAATAAATTATAAAAAATGGGTTTCCTCTAACCAATTACAGCAAGAGGTGGCCAAAATATAACTCATCTACAGTTTCAGAGGCCTTGTTTTCAGTGTGTCTATGAATTTGACAATTTTAAAGGACAAAAAACTATTCTGTATGTTATTATTTATTATAAAATTGGTTGTTAAAACATAAGCGTAGTCCTTTTGGACTAAGCTCAAGAGATATACCAAAACATAAAGTTAAAAGAAAACACTAAAAGAGAGACTAAAAAGCTAACATTACTAAAATTTTACATCTAAAAGCTTTATTAAGTAAGAAAATTAGTAAATTAATACAATGTCGTATGTTCATAGAAACCAAATAAACGCAAACTTAAATTTGTTCATCACTAAGAAGTATTACTTTCTGCTTACGTAACAATCTAAAGCATCAACTCTCTTTTGATACTCTGGAAAAAACCCTAAAACCCAAATCCTACACCGAATAGTCAGTATCTCGATGTGCATACAAGACTTGTTTTTCCTCTCACACCGAAAAACATGAAGATGAGCCGTGTATGAGTCAAAGTGTGTGTGTGTGTGTATGGTGAGGGATATATGCGAGATATGCCAGTGACTGACAGAGTAAAATTTGCACATTTTGCTTTTGCTAGGTGAAAGAAGAGCTATGTCGTTGGGCAAACACTCACCCAGTGCGTCGATCGTGCGGCGTTGAGGGGGGCGTGCAGGGCGAGTTGGCCTCACTCAGGGAATGGCCCAGGGAGGCGCATTGGCGCTTCTTCACCGCTTGCAGCAGATTCAGGGTGGACCTACTGAGGCTTGGCTTAATTGTCTGCAAGGGATGTAGAAGTTGTAGAAGTGACCTTTAAACTTAAGTTAAGTAAACGAAAAGAACTTACACTGAAACAGGGACCGCGCAGCTCACGCAAATCGATGCTGCGAAAGAGATCGCAGAGGACTAGGTCCTCGACGGAGGGGCAGACACCGCTAGGCGGCTCAAAGATTAGACCTAATATTTCCAGAATCTGTAAAGAAGATGACAAAGTCTAAGTATAATTCTTCCTTTGTCTTCTATTTTAGATTCTTGCCAATTTAAACTATACATTACTCTTTTTTCTTGTCTGAAAAAAATAAAAACAAAATAGTAAAATAAAAATCATAATAAAACTAATCAAACTAAGAGTGTAAAATTTACTTTTAAAAGCAATGAAAAGATTTCAAAAAGAACTTTATTACTGACCTGGCCAATTTGTGGGTAGTGCTGCAGCTCCATCTCGAGCACCCTCATGGACGGCTTGGGGGTGGTCAGCTCCTGGCCCGTGCACATCTCGTAGAGCAGGTGGCCAAAGCAGACAATGTCCACGTTCTCGATCTCGGTGACCGAGCGGGACCACATGACGGCGTTAATGCGCGAACTGAGGCCCAGTAGGCCATTTTCCAGGCCCGACAACCTGATGCCCGGAAAAAGGGAATAAATGTCACGGAAAATGCATAATTAAATGAAAAGAGAACTCGCTCGCTTCTCCCATCCCTTTTGTGTTTTCGTTTTTAATTATGCAACAAATTCGATGGCGCGGCTTTGCCATATATTGATGGCCAGCACGTGGAAATGCCAGCCCCACAAAGTGTCTACTTTTATGGATTTATGTGCGAGCGAGAGACGGAACTGGTAGGGCAAATGATTCCTCCCCTTTTCCCCACTTCACCGCAACGATGTGCCTTTATGACAAAGGGCGTATGTCAGACCTGATATGACAATATTATGGCACTAGACCGTGTTGTCTATTGCGGATTGGCTGAAGCTTTCGGTTCGAGGGTCCTGCCTGGGATTCTCAGGGTTCTCATTAGAGCGAAATACTGCTGACTGGTTGGAAAAAGGTAGCCCAAATTGGCTGACAATAGGCCTTCTGAAGATGCTAGTTGCCGTGCTGGTATAGTTTATTGGTTTGCCTTGTCTTTTGTTCTAGGAAATTTGAGTTTCTCAGAAATCTAATCTACAATCTAAGCTTAATTTATCTTTTAAGAGAAATCAGTTTAAAATGCTTCAACGTTGTACTTAACTGAGACCTTTTGGACTTCGGCTCTTAGGCTTTTTGTTAGGCCTTCTTAAACTTTCACAGTCTCAGCACCTATGAAAGAGTCTCACTGCCCATTATAATTCCTTTATAGTTCCAATCAAAGACTTACTTCTTAACTAAATCCCTGCCTAATTGCATTCTGTTTTTACAGCTTTGATTTAACACTGATAGACTTTGGTATTTTGCAGTCTTTTAGTCCTTTATTACCATTGCAGGCTGTTAAAGAGTCCTATCTGAATCCCAACTCGAGCAAGTATTTTCCTTTACACTCCGTCAATCAGCTTTTCAGCTTACTACTTTCTACTTTCCTTTCCCCCTGCTCTCTCCCAACTTTCCCGTGCCCCTATCGATGACTGTACATGTATGTATAAGCAATTTATATGAAAATCAGCTTTTCAATGCACACCCCAGCGACGAAGGTAGCAAAATTGGGTCATGCACTTGGCGCAAACTTGAAAGGCGAACAAAAATCCGCACTTTAATCGACTTTCACCTATGGGAATCTACCTCATGGGGTGTGTGCATCTTCCTCTGCCCTCTGCCTGTACCCCTTCCACTGAACTGCAGCATAAGCAAGTTTTTGTGCTAACCATTTATTTTTAAAATGGCAAAAAGCTGAAAGCTTTATTTTTGTTACACCCATACGATGTTGGCTAGTGGGTGGTTGCTGGGTGTTGGGTGTCCGAGGGAGGTGTTTTACGCGTTGTCGCACAACAGTTACATGGATCACAGAGAGGCGCAGAGGGGTGCCAAAAAAAAAAAAAAAAAAAAAACAGGGACATGCATTTAAAGTGCCCTGAAATGGCCAACGATTCTGGGGAATTGCTTTTAATTTGCCATTTGGGTTGAAATCCTTTTTGGTGAATTTTGCATGAGTGGAATTTCAGGCGAGGCCATTACCCCCTCTTCCCCACTCTTTTCGATATCAAATATTTCAGCTATTATTAAATTAGTTCACAGTTGAGTGGACCTCAAATGGACAGTGGACAGTGGTCAGTGGACTGTGAAGAGAGAAGGATAGACTCACCTGGCTGCCCCGTTCTGCAGGATGACATTGCCGCTGTGCAGGTGACCGTGAAGCGGAAAGCCGCGCTCCTTCAGGAAGAGCAGTGCCTCCAGGATCTGACGCCCCAGGCGCTGCACCTGGCTAACAGGCAAGCCATTAGGTTTACGCGTGTACTTTCTGGCCCACGGTTCGTTCCACTGTGCCTAGATAGAGTGAATTTACAAGCGATAATAACTTAAATCCTTCAATTAACCAACCTTATATATGAGATCCTTGAGACTGCCCCTTGAGTTGAAGGGCGTCACCAGGCAGGCGTAGTTGTAGGAGCTGTTCCGCAAGAAGCCCAGATCCAGAACGGGATATATGTACGGATGATGCAGCGAACCGAGGAGCTCCATGAGTATTTCCCTGGGACATTCGTTGGGCGGGAGATCCTCGAAGGCCACGCAGTCGGGGGGCAGAGGTAGAAGAGTCAGCAGACGATCAGTGCGGACCTAAAAATAAGAGAAATCCATGATAAAACCCTTTTCAATCCTTTCGAAAGAGAAACTCTTACCGAGGCATCTGTGACCAGAAACCAGTTCTTGCCATGCCTCGAACCAATCTCATCCAAGTGGGCGATCACTTCATAACGCCCATTGGCACTCTGAATCCATTCCTGTGTGGCATTCAGAGCCTTCTCCCCTTTGAGCCCGTTCCCGGGGACTACGTTCCACGATCCCATTGCCACTGTCCAAGGCGGAGTACTGATACTTGATGTTGGGCCTGAAACAGGTCATTTCGAATATTAACTCTTAGGCTTAGCAATTTACATAGTTAGAAAGTTTATTAGAGAGCATACTTGGTTGAAGATTTGCTAACTAAGGATACTTGTTTGTTGAGTAAAACTAAAACTATAACTAGTTATGATATGGCTATCTGGCAAAATGTCTTGACACTCAGCACATCACACTCAGATTTCAGGGCAGGTGTTATTTACAACGTCAAATGGGAAAGGCATTTAACATAAATTTTCCCACAATTTGCATACCAACAAGAGCCAACACGTATTTGATATTCGTCCTTCCATTTCAATTATGTGGTTTTATGTTGAATAATTTATTTATTTACAGAGATTTATTTACTCGCTCATCTGATGTGGCAGGTATGCGGGCAGTTATGGACAATCGGCAGTTGGCATTCTAATGGCTAGCAACTGAGGGGATTTCCTTGTTGGAAGTGAAATATAATCAGTGTTTTAATCAGATTTACGATGAAGACTTTTTACTTTTCACACGTAATTTAGTTTGTTTTGTGTTTTAATTTATTCAAAGAAGAGTTTTCCTTACCCCAACTATGTTAGAAACTAACTTTTAAGATAGAAAAATATATAAAAAGGGGAAAAGTTCGAATTCAAGAGGCCCAAATTTGGAAGATTCAAATAATAGCAAAGCAAATTATGACAGCAGTCTCATCCAACCACAAAACAGTCTCCTCCCCTCAAAAAAAAAAGAACCATCCACAGGTCACAGGACAATCGCTGCCAAAATGTTGGTCAAAAAAAAAAAAGAGAGGGACACAAAATAATTTGGACAGCACAATATTTTTTTTTTCCCGTTGGCAAGTTGTGAAAGGTGCCGCAGGACGAAGGAATTTGCAACTCAATGAGGACGGAAAACAAAAGGAAGGGCCAGAGGAAGAGGAAGTAACTGCCTGCACAATGGCGCAGCGGAAACGGAAGCAAGAGTTTATCATTTCATTTCGGTGTTTATTTTTTTTGGTTTTTTTTAAGATTTTTTTTGTTTATTTGTTGCAGGTGAAGAGTTGTACAAAGAGTAGAAGAAGAAGTGCAGTAAAAGAACTGAAAACGGTGTCAAACGAAATGAAAGGAAGTAGAAAGTAGAAGGAAAAGCCAAACAAACTGCACTTACTTGGTAGGCTCAAACGAGAACGAAATAGATGTTAAGAAGAGACGAAATAACAAAAGGCCAGAAAAAAGTAACACAAAAAGTTCGTAGAAGAGGCAGAGGTCGGGGCTCATAAACAAACACTTTCGGGCCACTCAATCAAAACAGAGCGAAGGTTAAGCACAGCCTCGGGTTAAGTTTAGCATGTGTTTGAAAATTTAATAAGGCACAAAACGAAAAGCAGTGGAAAGTGTAGAGAGGGATAGAGAGTAAAGAGGGGACAGCGGGGCGGACAAAAAAGAGAGTGAAAGTGTGTTCGTGTGTGGCATAAAATGTTGGCCAAGAGGCTTCTTTCTGCTTCCTCCCAGCCCATTTCACTTTCATTGCGTCACAAGAGCTTGCAGGAAAGGAATGAAAACATAGAGACTCGAAGAAAAAAGAGTCTAAAAATTTCAATTTAATTTTAATATATTTTTTATAGATCAAAATTTTTCTGCCTTTTCTATAAAATTTCTTTATTTTTAGGTTAATTTTTGATTAGTTTACCAATTCATGTGTATATTTTCCCCCTGTGTAGTCAGCTGTGTGTGTACTAGCTAGACCATAACAACCAAAAGCTGGTTAAACTCTTTGCCCATTGCCTGTCTCTTGCGCTTTTGGCCAACGGTGCGTATGTGAAATATTTCTCATTTCCCTGCTGCTCAAAAGACCTTGACTCCGATTGCAGCTGTAACGGGTTTTAGCATCCAACTGTGCCTGTTTGTTGGAGTATGTTGCCAGCCCCTGCTTGCTTGCTTGTTTGTTTGTTTGTTTGTTTGTTGACTTAAGCTAATTCTTTGTTGCAAAGCGAAGGGAGAGGTGACTTGCCTTCGTTTATCCGCTTGGTGATATTGCAGCTTAAATATTTGCCAAACACTCGACACACTTGTTGTTTGTCAACTCTGGAAAGTGGGCGGAAAACGGAAGGATAAATGCTACCAAAAAGTCGAGTGGAAAGCTGAAGATTGTAGATTTGAAGTGGGAAATGAATTGGATTTTTTTCGGTAGACATTCAGGGATTGGAACTAGGCAGAGCCAGAAAGAATTCCGAGTGAAAGAGTTCAGTAATTTATAATAATAATATAAACCAATAATATTTCCAAAAGCCAATATTAATTTATAGTTTCCCCAAATTTCGTTTTTCCACTAAAAATACACACCTTTGATGATAATTTCATATTCTTAAAGCCAATTATTTTCAACAGAAAATACGTTTTTTAGTTACTCATAATAATAAATATTTCCCCTAAGCACTCAAAAGAAGGGACAAACCAATAACCGTAAAAAAAAATGTTAATTAAAATGTAAAGCCCTTCTGAGAAGCAGGTGAAATGCTGCCCTTTCTCTGTCAAATAAATAACATCAGCGAACCGAATATTTTCAGTTTTCAAGGTTCAAACCTTTCTGTCAGTTACATAGATACATAAGCCTAGAGTCAGAAGATGGCAACTCGATTGGCGGGGAACTGAAGTTCGGATGCCGCTTGTAATTAACGTGCTCGTGTGTGAAATTTTTTATTGCATACTTTGCGGCACTCGCACAGGCATATTCACCTGCTCGTTAGGGGCTAACTCACACATAGATACACACACACCGCCATCGAAAGACACTTACACACACGAACAGATGCTCACGCTCGCTTGCACATTCATCATACGGCTCAGCACGTAGAACAGGGGAGGGAAAAGGGGGAAAGGCGATGTAGTCCTCACAGATACTCACACATACACTCACAAACACACACATACAAACACAGACGAATCAATTTTTCCACCTTTTCGAGCGAACTTTTGCCGAGTTGATAATTTAATTTGCAATTTTTGTATGGTGTGCTTGGGCATCTAATTTGAGGAATTTTCACCTTGGCAAACTTTCACCTGCCTTTTGGAACAAAAGGAGAAGTCATAGGGGCGGAGAGGGAGAAAGAGAGAGAGGGTTGGGTGATGGAGAAATGGGAAATGCATTCTATCATCACGCTTAATACTTTGACTTTGGCACTGCCTTTGGCTTTTCATTTGAAATGAGAAAACTTTCCCACTAAAGTTGGGCAAAAAAATTTTTGGCAAGCAGAAGAGAGTCTGTTTAATGTTAAGGGAAATTAGTTGGTATTTTCCTTGTTTTTTTGTTTTTGATTTTTCAAAAATCATTGCCCACAAAAGCTTTCAAGTTAATTATTTTTTTGCGGCTGCCTTTCAGCCGCCCTCTTGAAAACATTAGACACTTCAGATTGGTTTCTTCCCCGGCATTACTTGTGTTTTTATCTCTAAGTTGAAACTTGTGCATGTGTGGTACATCAAAATAAATGCGAATAAAATGTATTGTTTGGTGGATTTGGCTTGCTTTTGTTTTTTCTACGTGTGGCAAACATTAAAAGCATTTCAGGTTTTATTTCTATTCAGTTCTTGGCATGCAAAGTGCTGAACCAAAAAAAAAAGATCAAGTAAAACGAAAGGAAAACGGCAAGCAAAAGATAAAACTTGGCAACGAAATCTCTGTACACTAGTGAGGCTAATGCTGATGGTGATGGTTAATTTCAAGTAAGTAAGTACAAGCTAAATACGAAATAGATTAGTTTAGTATAGAGAGAGAGTAGAGTAGAGTAGTAAATGCAACCTTGTTGTTAGTACTGAATCTATGGTATCTCTACTTCCGGTTTCCGCTGGCATCGACTTGCTAAAGAAGAGCCTAGCTAGATTGTCTAACCTCGCGCTAACCAGCGGCGATTTTTCCGAGTGCTCGGACATATCTGAGTTATCTTGCTCCGAGCTCGCCGACCGATTGCTGCAAATAGAAGGGTACACAATGGTGGTTGCGGTGGGTGTTTGGTTTACGTTTGGGTTGGTTTTTTTTTTTTTTTTGGCAAAAGAAAGAATGTACAAAAAAAAAACAGCGATAAGTGTGTGTGTTCTTTTCTTATCTCTCGAATCTGTCAAAAGAAGCTTTAAAACTAAAAGAGAGGTGGTCCAGTAACTAAAAATCATAACTCGTGGAACCTGTGCACTGTGCATTGTTTGTTTTGCTTGAGTGTGTGAGTGGAGCTCACACACACACACACACACACATTGCAAAAGTCCTACTAGATATATACTTATCGGTCCGAATGGGGTACTCACCTACTATATATCTGGCGGCGGTTGGCAGCTGTCAGGGCCGAGACATCGAACTCGATCGCCGAGTTGGAGCGTTTCAGGCCGTTCGCCTTGTGCAGCTTCTTCATAATGTTCCTCACTTTCCTAGCGCGTTTGATATCGGTTATCAGTTATCAGTTATCAGTTATCGATTATTGTTTACGGTTAAGGATTGCATTTGATATTGAGAGACACAGACATTGGCAATAGTTGGCAATTTAAAGGTGAAAAATTTTCATATTTACAAAATTTGTATCTTTAAAACTTAAACTTATTAATATATTTCTAGAACTTTAGTTAGTCAATTTAAAACTTAAGAAAATTTTCATAAAATTTAAATCTACTTTTTAAAAAATGTTAAAATTTTCAAAGGTTAATATACGAAAAGTTATCTTTAAAAAAATTAAAATAAAAATGTTTTCTCAACTTTCGTGTAATGTAAATACCAATCCCTTTTTTTCGCTTTCAAAAATCTGAATTTTGCAGTTCAAATCAACTCATTTCTTGGAACTCAGGAGCACTCACTTTTCGGGCACTGGTGGTCGGACAAAGGGATCATGTCCTGTGACGGCACTGTTCCGATTGTCTATCCGCTGCTGCTGGGCGGCCTTGTTGAACTTGAACATGGTGAAGGACTTCTTGGCGCTGGCCACCTCACACACACGAACGATGATCTTGCGGCTGCTCTTGAAGACCGTATTCAGGGTCTTGTAGACCAAAATCGAAACGGACTTGGGGGCCTGGGGAGTGTGGTGGTGGGAGTTATGGCTAGCCTGCTGTTGGGTTAGTGGCGTGGGCAGAGATTGTTGTTGCTTCAGTTGATGCACTGGAGCATGCGGCGCGGTCGACGCCGATGATTGTGATCGGGTGATGACTTTGCCTTCGCTCTGGAGATTATTCCGATGGCACTGATCCCGCTGATTCCGGTGGCAGCTGATGATGAGCTCCGGCTCCGGATGCGGCGCTGCCGGGTCGTTGACCTCGCTGCAAGTGTCCTGTGGTGTTTGCAAGTGTTTTGTTTTTGTTTTTTTGGAAGGAGTTTCGAACAAAAGTTGAGTGGCGACGGCGAAATGGAAAGAAATATGCGGTAGATCGATTTAAAAATTGTTTAATCCCGAAACGAGAACTTAGCACAGCGAAACGAAATGAAAAACGATAAAGGACAGAAGCGCTTCGTGGAAATAAAGTTGGGAAAATCATAAGCCATTAAAGCTAACAAGTCTAGCACCCCGGCAGTTGCACTTGCTCAACGATCGTTCAAAAGAGTGTAAAGTAACTTGGGTTTAATTATTGCTGGAAAAGACAATCACAAAAGCATTTTGATAACGAACTTTGCCAAGTCCTTTTGTTTCATTTTCAATGTGGTTTTGCTTTTTTCTTCTTTTTGGTGTGTGAAACGGAAGGAAAAGGATAATCAAATGAAGGATTAAGCATGCTTTAGGCCAATTCATCAATTCAACTAAACTAATTTACAGCCAATTTGTATAAAAGCGTTATCTAAATTTTAAGAAATTTGCATAAAGGAATTGCGTGAAATTCAAACTGAAAAATAATTTGAACAAATTTCAGCGTGTCTTGAGTGTTGATTTTTTAGCAGCCAATTGGAAAGTTTGGAAAATCAAAATTCGTTTGCTTGTGTAAAAGTTGTGGGTGGTTTTTTCTTTTGGTTTTATGATTTTTTAGCTTTGCTCTTTGGTGATTCAATTTGCTCTCAATTTGCTGGCTAATTTGCTTCGCTCGATAACTTGACTTGCTGATGCAACGAAAGCAAATTTACCTACCGACAGCGATCTCTTAGGCAAACTTCGCTACAGTCCAAAAATGCAAGACACCTAAATCCAGGGTTCGATGTTTACAGAAATGTTTAGTTTTTTAATTCGATTTGTACTCTTAGCAGGGTTAGATGGTGGAAAATCAGTGGCGGGGGGAGTGAGGCGTTTTGATGAATTGCAATGAGGGGGGAAATCAACTTGACCCCGTTCGCTTTCAATTTGCTGGCTTATATCTACGTAATTTCATTGATTTTTTGGGTTAATTGGAGGCTTGTTTTGATTTTTTGGTTGGTGCTTATTCTAGATTTAATTGGTTTTTGTTGGATTTGCACAGTAAAAATGTGGAAACTTGAAATTTTGATTTCAGTTTCTCATTTCGATTGGAAAATAAATCAAAACAAGGTTGTCAAAAAAGTCTTGCGGTCTTCGCTAGTTCGCGTAGTTCTTGTTTTATTCGTCGCATCAGGTCATACTATACCTTTTTGGAAAGCTCATTTCACGCGCTAACACGTGTTTGATTGATTGTCTTTTCTTTCAAGTCGTTCAAGTGAGAAACTTATAGCGTCTTATTCAATCAACAAACTTAATAAAGTAATTAAAAATACGGCATATTTTACAGTACTACTACGATAAAGGCAAAAAGCATCCTAAACTTTATGATGTTCATAATAACTCTTATTTCTCCCTCTCGTGAGCCACAAAAAGGAGTAGCCATTAAATCTGTTTCACTTTTTTAATTCAAAACGAATAAAGTGGTCAATTAGCGAGCAATAAAATGATTGCAAAAGTCAATTAGTGTCCAGCATTTTTGAAATTTCCAACAGACTCGTTGGCTGCAGCCCAGAAAGTGTGACAAAGCTGGCTTTTTCAATTATAGCGACAGAGCAGTGCGTTTTCAAGGGTCTGCTTTGTTTTTAGCCATGGCAGCAATTAAAATATCTGACGCAGACAGTATGGATCCGATTTCAATTTCAGATACACCGCTCTGCACGCTCTTCACTGGGCCAGTGTTTTGTTAATTAAAAAGTATACGCCCCTTTGGCATGGCAAAACTTTAGAAGTTATTTCAACGAAAGCGAATGCGTTGCAGTTCAACGAATGCCCTTCACACGATGAAAAGTAAACCGCAGCAACCACTTCTATGCCGGCAACAGCGGCCAAAACAATGGGAAGGACTTTAATAGACGCTTAAATAAATCATACGCCCCGTGTGTCGCGCCTTTCTACCCTCAAGTGCCGCTTTCCTATTTGTATGAGCTGCGTGACATTGAGCTTTGTTTGAGTGTGTGTGTGAGTGTGTTTGTAACTAACAGCACATATGTACAAGTCTTAGATTTTTGCACGTGTTTCCCGCTTACTTTGGCCCAACCCCCGCGCCGGCCTATTTCTCTAATTGTCTAATTCTAATTTTAAATTGTGTTTTTAAGTTGCTGCTGTTAGCGTTGTTGTTGTTCTCCTTGTTCTCTGCATGCATTGTGGCCCGATTTGTATCGTATTTGTTCTTGCAACAACCCCTCCGCAGGGCCATTTATCTAATCAGGGACAGCTCACAGCTCACACAAATGCTCAAAGTTCGTTTCTGCCTTTTACTTTCAAGACATTTTATTGATTTTCCTTTTGGGAGAGCTGTAAGTGGTTCGTTTTATTCTCTTTTTTGGCTTTCAGGTGTACACTAGAGGAGCCACCACCCAACCACTGCCACCTCGTTCAACCTGTCTGGGTGTCAAATTCATATTCATATTCATCTACAATCACGATATGTGTGAGTTGGGCTCTGGGCTTATCCTTCACTTTGATTATTGCATTACCCTGTCCGTCACTGGCTTGTTCATTGCAAATTAAATTGTCAACTTCGTTAAATGGCAGTAGGAAACGCGATGTTGTCTACCGACTGGAAACAGATATCATTAATCAATACGGGTCTTAGTTCAATGTTCCAGACATTAATTCGCGGCACTTTAAGTGAATCGCCTTTGGAAGAAGCCTCATCGTTGGTTATTACTCACGCCGAGAGCTAAAAATAACTGACAAATGTTTCCATGCCCTTAGGCAATTACTAATTATTTTTCGTTGGGTATTATGTGGACTTCAAAACAAAATGATTAAGACGTTGGGCGAGACTTTTGGGTAAGGAAAAAGTTTTATAAAGAATTTGTAATTCTTTTTTTGGAAATTGTAAGATATATGCTTGAAAAAGTTAAAAATGCGAGGGAGATGTCTACTTTCTTAGGAAGTGACTTACATTGAAAGACGTTTTGGCAAACTTTTAAGTTCCATGCAGTTTTAAAAAATATTTGTAATTAGAGGTAGCCCTAGGAATATCCCAGAAGAATCACAAAGAAGTCATACCTCAAGTTTATGTCTAATAAATGCCTTTAAATTTTTTCCGTTCCACTTTCATTTTCCTCTCCCAGCTTGATTAATCTCCCTACAAAGCCCCTAAATTTTCTATACAGAACAAGCGCTTTATTCGTGTCATTTACAAGCCACCCAAAACTCATTTAATCTGCCACCAAAAAGAACTCTGAGAGACCGAAATAGAATTGCACATTAAAAATGATGATGATGATGGAGATGGAGATGGAGATGGAGTTGAAAATGAAGACTGGCGTGGCACCTGTTTTCGACGATTTGTTGCCTTTTTCCAGCACTAGTAGAGCACTTGCCACGACCTCTTCGGCTTCATTATGGTTGCACTCATTGTTGATTGGGTCAGACGAGTTTTAATAAATTTTTAAATAGTTTCGAGGATGTCACAGAGTTGACTGGCTGCCGCGTGCCATGTAATGTTAATGGATTAGAATTTTCGGTTAGCACCAAAATTAACTTTGCAAAGTTCCAACAAGTTTCCCAAACTACATAGTTCACTCGCTGACGCGACGAAATTTTCTTTCTTTTCTTGGATGAAAACTTGGTTGAATATTTAAGCCATGAAAACGCGGCCAACACGGTGCTCGGGTCGTCCGTTAATGAAGGTGCGATTCGAATATCGTTTCGCTTGTGGCGAAAACTATGAATTTTCTTCATTCCAGTCGAACTGAGGTGTGTTTTATGTGTGTGTGTGTGTGTGTATGTGTATATACACACACATTGGTGTAAGTACTAACAACGATGATTGTGGGTGAGTGGCTTAGAGTGTTTGCGTGTCCATATCGCTTCATGTTTGTGGTTGTATTTGCGGCTGACTCGTCGGTCGTTCTCTCTGACTCTCTCTCTCTCTCTCTCTCTCTCTCTCTGTCTGTCTGTCTGTCTCGCTTCCGACTGTGCGTTCTCCCCTTCTAACTGGATTATAAAAATTGATTTTTAATTTTTATGACAATTTCCAACTGACTCATGGCTAGAACCGTCGTCCGCTTTGGCATTCGCAGAGAATGTTCCTCGTCTATTTGCTCATCCTTGGCCAATGTAAAAGCCAACAGGCAACCCAAAGAACCCACTCCATTGAATACCATTTGAACTTGGCATGCCAGTTTGTTTTTGCCTGACAATGGGCTAACAATGTATGGATAATGTACCGTGGGGCCAGCGATAAGGATGGAATTACTGGCCCAAGAAGGGCAAGGTCAGGCTAGGTAGGCTTTGGGTAAGTTTTTTTTTTTTTTTGGTAGGAAGTTCTAATGGTTAATTGTTATTATAATGCCGTTATAATGGGCTTTGGCTATGAGCTATAGCAAAACTTAAGCTTTCTTTATGTTAATGGGAAGTTTCGAGGAGGATTTCTTCTTCTTTTGATTGTAGTTTAGTTCAATCTAAGATTAAGGAGTATCTTTAAAGGGTTTCTTATTGTTTTTTAAGTTTATTTTTTAAGTTAAGTCAATTAAACAGTTATTACCAGAAGTCCAAAAACTCTCCTTTAATTAAGAATCTTCTTCTTAAAAATGCTTTTATTTTGAAAATTGAAACCCCTTTTCCCTTTCCAACAAAGTTCCTTCTTCACCCAATTATGAGCTGTTTTCCAGTTAAAGTAAATTTCCCGAATTTGCTGAGAGACTAGCCTTTGTTTCTGTAAAACTAATCAGACTTATATTTTTCACTTTCAAAGTTGCATTCAAATTTGAATTTAAATAGCCGCAAAATATTTCCGCAGGCCGTAAACCTTTTATGGCCCCTTCTTTGCTGGTCACTCCCCACTGTGCCATGTCGGCTATTAAAACTGTGTGTGGTGTGTGCTTGTGGCAAATAGTCGTGATGTTGCCCACTTCGTGACACATTAATCATGACCCGCTCAACGACTGTTTACCTTCGCTCTGACCAGCAACAGCAACCCACACCCACACTCACACCCACACCCACCCACTCTCCAACTTTCCATTACTCCCAGGACATTCGGTTGTATGCAAATATTACAGTTTGTTTGTTTGCGGGTTTGCCTTTGATCGCTCCATATGGAAATTGGAAAACTTTTTACGCGCCGGCCTCGCGTGAAGCCAAAGTGAAAATGTAGGAGAAGCAAAATGGAAATGAAAATGGAAATGGAAACCTTTCGGCGCGGTCAGTTGTCCTTATAGTGCGTGGTTCTTGCGTGTCCTCTAATAGAAATTTATAGCCTACAGTATGACCCAACTACATGTCAAAGTTTGATAAGGTTTTAGTGGGAGCTTAGTGGGGGTGCTAAAGAAATATCAAGACTTAGAACCACCGACTAATATTCAAAGGATATAAATTTTATCTACTTCTAAGAAGAATCCCCAAACTTATCCTCAAAGTTCTTCTCTTCCCAAAGCTTAAAATTTAGCTCACTTCTCGTTACTTCAATATTTCTCCTAAAACCTTAAAGGGTTAAACTTAATCCTCAAAGGCCAAACCATAAACCATTGTCTGTATCTATAAAAGTCGAAAACTTTTGAATTTATTATGGTATTGATCTGTTTGATAAATAGAAGTTCCACTGTATATTTATGGCATATATTTTTCACTGTCTGTCCGGACGATGTGGCGCCAACAATCGTAATGGATCCTAGAACTGGAGTGGGTTGACGTGGCCCACTGGTCACCGCCCTCTAAAATGCCGAAAGTCAACTGCGTCATTGTTGGGTGGGGAGTAGAACCAGCCCCATCCCAGTTTCCCAGCCATTTTTCCGAGGGGCGGATAAAGATAAAGGGCACCAGGCCTGGGGGCCAGGCCCATTTCCAGTGACCTTGCATCATTAACTTAATTGCTCAAACAGTCGTCGGACCGTCCAATTGCCGGGCTGAATTATTCAGTTGTTCTGCTCGGCCAACTGGCAATTTTGCGTCTTTTCCTAATGTCACCACAAGCTCATAGAGGACGGGCTGTCTCTCTCTCTCGGGCCTGCTGCACTGGAAAAGCCAGCAACCGTCAGCCAGCACAGGGAATGGTAAAAATCCCCACGTGCATTCGCTGTGGTCGTTGGCCCGTTCACGTTGTCTCCCTGCCTTTCCGAGGGGCGTCACGTGTAGCGGGGCTTAGGCCCCTCCTCAATTTAACATTTTTTTTTTTCACAAAAAAAAAAAGACAGCCAGACGCAAACCATTTTTGAGGGACTAATTGGATTGAAGAGTTTTCCTGCTGCGCTTTTGTCAGCGCAGATTGCAGCAGTCATATATTTTCATATTCATATTTATATATTTTTGAGAATTCACAGGGGGAAGGAGATCGGTACAGGCTAGTCTAGGTTGGGTATACATACCTGCATCGTCTTATCCAGTATGAAATGACAACTATTCCGCCCAATATCAAACCACCTAAGGCACACCAAAAAAGGGTCTGAAAGAAAGAAAGGAATTGTACTTAAGTTAGTAATTGTTATGATAAAAAGGAAGAGTAAGTCATAAAAATCATTTAAAAATACACAAAAAACTTAACTAACAAGTTTTTAGTAACCATTCACAGTTCACCCCACAATACATCTTTTGATAACCCAAAATAATATATTGATAAAGATATTTCAAGACCTGTTGTATCATTTAATTTAAGATGTAAAATGATCCACCTAATCCTGCAGTCATTTATTATTATTATTCCAAGGAAGTCCGAAAAATGCTGCCAGCCCTTTATCCGGTTTTCACCCCCCCCTTTAGTCAGTACTTAAACCTTTTCCGTTGCTTAATTAAACGTCTATAAAAATGCAAAAATTCAATGGAATTCCATTGCCTAAGCCCAAAATTAATAAATTATTTCTTATCAGCTGACCTTTTATTAAACGTTTCTCATCGTTGAGAAAAAAGGTCTTTGCCCTGCCCTTTAAAACTTTTCCAATTTGGCTTTTCCTTAAGTCAAGTTCAGTGAACAACTTGACATCTTTGGCAAAGGTTCATTAGATTTAAACACCCACTTTTCAATCCTTTTACCACCAGACAAGGCCACGCCCACTCGGACTTTCTAATCAAATTGTGTATTTCAGTTTTCACGCTTTGTCAGAAGAAGGGGGTGGGAGGAGGAGGAGGCGCCCTGGCGAGGCTACAAATCATTTGCGAGAATAATCTTTTTAATTTTATGGACAGACGGACAAGTCAGACCCAGATTCGGCAGCAGATTTGGATAGTCGGAGGCGGATCATCAATTTTGCAGCCAGAAATGTCAATTGCAGTTGGCATTTTAGGTCAGAGACGAGGCCAAAGAATGTCAATCCAGACACGACTCGATAGAAATCAGATTGTGTGTGTGTGTGTGCGGGAATCTGTCGATTCATTGGGGCATGGGGTCACGAATGATTTATTGACAAAATGTCTGGATAGATCATGAAATATGCATCACCAAGAAGCGGGTGGAAAGATTTCCTTAGATTATTAGCTCAATTAAATGAATTGCCTTTCAGATTCGGGCTTAACTTTTTGCTGGATGCATCTTTATACTTTCCAATCGAGGGATTAAATGTCTCAATTAAGTACTTCTTTGTTACAGGAAAAGATAATCGCAATCACGTATTAGTTGCTCGATTTAACCAGCTCAGCTGTAACCCTTTCAATGGTTCAAATGAAAAATTGAAAGGCAAGGCTCACATTTTCCGGCAATTCGACAGTTCCCAAAACAATTTGGGAGCAATAAAATTCTATTGCCAGGACACACACTCGAAGCGGAGGCCATTGTCTCCGGCTCTTGGGCTCATCCTGCCACCGCTGGAACTTCCTGCCAGCCTGGCTGCCTGCCAATTCAGAGGCAATGCCACATCAGCCTTACCACCATCATCTCATTTAGGATTTGTGGCCACTTTCCTTTCTTTTTTGGCAACTACTTTGACTTTTTGGCCTGCCATTTTTATGCCTCGATAATTGCAGCCGCAAGGAGTTGTCAGCTTGCAAAAATTATAATAAAATACTCGAAAGTTCAAGGTCCACTCCTTACACTCCTATACTTACAATCCAGTAGTGCGTTTCAGTTTGTCTGCTTGGATTCAATTGCATTGCACGTTCCTTTCATCTAAGAGCAAGTCACAGTTGGTTTGCTGCAATGGAAAGCGAAGAGTTTCGGTTAGTCTTGAGCTCGGGGAAACAAAGTAAGCTGAGCAGGGCGAAAATATTGTTTGCATACTCAAAGTTTTCCTCGTTGGAGTTAGTTTGGAAAGGAGATTGGTTTAGGGAAAATGTCAGGCAAAATATCAGTTACCTTGTACAGTCACGAAATATAAGTTTGGCTTGTACTCAGATAAGTAAGATTTGCATTATTGCATAAAGTTTGGGGAATATTCAATAGAAGGGGAAGTCTTTAAATTATTCCTAAAGTAAATTCAATATTTCTAAGAGAAAGGCAAACACCGGCAAAGCGGACTACTGGTGTTTGATTTCTCAATCTTTCCTCCCTTGCAGAGGCTAGTTATCCAATATCCTCTTCCTGTAATTACACATTTATTGATTTGAGTTTGGCCCGAAAATAATTGCTAGAACAGCAAACACGGCCGCCCATTGAGTGTGCTCAGCTGAGCCAACAGCGAAGGCGATTAGCTCTGCTCAACGAATTTTAAGAGCACTTTGTCCAGATTGGAGTGTTGGTGAGAGAAGGAGGAGGAGGAGGAGAAGGTTCAAGGCGGTTGTCCAGCCAAAGTTGCGTTTGATTTAGAAGGACTTGTTCAATGGAGCATTCTCAATATTTTAGTGGCTGCCGCCTACGCAATTATCATCTTCAACGTTGCGAGTGTTAGGAGAAGCGAAAATATCTTGGTCTTAAATGCCATGGCTTACTTTTGACATTTCCGCAAAAAAGGGAAATGGAGGTGGGAAAATGGCAAACTGTTGATTTCTTCTCTTTTCCCATCGGAATTGTCAGTCCTCTTCTCTGGCTCGGCACGAGTCTGAACTTTGAACTTTTCGGGTAAAACAAATGTTGGCCCAAAGTACACTTTTATGGACATATGGCGATTGTTTGACATTAATTTATGTAGAAAAAAGTGAAGGCAAATGTTGAAAAATGCGGCTAACAAAAAACTTCTTACTATAATTTAGCAGAGAAACTTGAAAGTTTAATATTTAGGCAAAGGGGAAAAGTTTTTACTTCATTTTCTGTTTTTTTTTTATAATGAATTTTAAAGTGTTAAAGCTTTTTACTTAATCTTGCCAACAACTCTTAAAGAAAGTCTGACAATTAGTAAATATTTTCTGATTTTTAAGCGACTTGGAAAGTCTTAAATTGGAATCCTAACAAAAAACGTCCAGAAGTCACCTTGTAATAGCTGCCTTTAAAACCCAAGAAAAACTCTCCTTCCGATTCAATATTGAACTTGGCATAATCTATATCCCAAGTCCAGGAACGCCCCTTCGATATCTTTCGATATCTGATATCCCTCCCCTTCCATTTGTCCTGATTTACCGATTCTCTATATATATTTCTTGTACAAAAAAATATGCAAATTTCTCCAACTGACTCTTCAAGTGTAATCAATGCTCTTTTTCGCCCCAGCAGGGCTCTGTTGGCCTGGAATTTGCATAGCGCCACTTGCGTGCATTGCATAAATGGATTTTCCACTCTCCGAAAACCAAAAACGGCGAAATTATGCAGAAATAGGAAAAGAAATGTGCTGTAGAAGAAGGAAAAGCGATGATTTCAAGTGCAAATGCGTACAAATGTTCGGCTCTAAAATGGCGATTCCTGTTCGAAATTGATAAGAAGAGAAGCTTCTGTTACTTGAAGGGTTGTGTTAGGTGCATCTAAGGGTCCTAAAGAATGAGTTTAACATTTCTAAATAGTACCAAGAGAAACTACAGGGTGGCCCATGTAGCGTTTGCTTTTTAAACTATCCATAATATTGACTTTGACATTTCGAATGTCATTGTCAATGTGCCAGATATTTAGTAGAAGGTTTACGGTTTACAAAATGGTTAAGATCGAAGAAAAATTGGGAAATTTTGATAGCGATTTTAAAACGCAAATCTTCCGTGGGCCACTGACTAAGGCCCCAATTCCCTAATATTTATTTTCAATATAACCAAATTAGCAATTACACAGTCAAGAGCCCCCCCAAATACGGTAATCAGAATTGATGACAAGCGATCAAGGACTGCAGGCCAACACTCCGGTTGTATTCCCCAGACTCTGATGTCGTTTTTATGCCACACATGAACGCTGTCAACGTCCCATCAACAAACACATCGTCAAACACGGTTGCGCCCCTCTAAGGCCCCTCTTTGGCAATCCGAATGTGCTGGCATATGTTATGAAATTAACGAGTTTACTCTGTGCGGGCCGCATTATAAACAGGCAAACAAAAATGGCCTAATAAAATTGTCAATAATGCGACAGCCACACGCGGTGCGGAAATCAAATGAGGGTTTGTTAAGCAGACAGAGTGAAAGAGAGAGAGAGTGTGTGCTGGTATAAGTGCTGACAACAAGGACATTACTCATACGCAACGTGTGCACGCTTCGAATGGAAATCAACTGCAGCTGACCAAAAATCAGTGTCACTTTCAGCGGGTTCATTTATCATCGCTTTGCCTTGGCGGCAGACAAGGATTGAGGGCGGTCCTAGGTCCTGGGGCAGCTGTCATGTTGAGCCAGTCAACGTGATTTGTCTCGACGCCAGTCAAATCAAGTTTGTCCTAGCAGTCGTGCCCTTTTGCTGGTTATACACTAAGAAAAATGTAGCTATGACTTAAGAGTAGCAACTACTCTTTTCCTAATCAATTAATAGTCTGTCGCCTTTGCTATTCCTTTCACTAATTCAAGAAATTCATAAAAAAACATGATTTTTCCTGTGATTTAGACGGAACCCAAATAGTTTTCTCTCTCTGTATATGGAAAACCGCACCCATTTCTCCAAGGGAGATGATGTGGTGGCAAAATGTGGTGCCAAGTGAAAACTTTCAAGGCCCCCGCGCACACACACAGTTTCTTGCTGTTGCGTGTAAACTCATAATTTGGTGGCACGCTGAAAGTTTCACTCAGAATTCGTTGTCGCTCAATTTGATGCGTGCCAATGGGCGGTAAGCGTGGGGCGTGGCACTCGAGGCTATTATTATGATTATCGCTTGCGAAAACATTAATTAGAAGGTCATTGGCGAGAACAGCGAGAACTGTTAGTTAATAATATTAATTAAGCCATTACCTTCTACTTCCATTTTGTTTCCCTGAGTGTCAATGTACAGGGCATTAGCCAAAGTTAATTGGTACAAAATTTAAATGCCACGCTGGAGGAGTTAATTAAAGACTATTAAGGGGTAGAGTTTTTGAGCTTAGCAGGCTAAATGTTAGCTTAGCCAGTTGGGTTCTTAAATTACTTTTAATACTGATTCTGTCTATCTTTTAAATTGAAATTTATGTTAAAAGTCCCTTTTCTGATTAAGTCATCATCTAATGAGTAAAGTAAACTTTATTTTAAGAAATATTACAAATATATAAAAATCAAATTTATAGATTTTAAAGGCTCTCACATACTTCACTTTTACTCTCTATCTTTTTTTTAGAGATTTTTCTTGTATTTAATTTCAATTTTCTAAAGAAAAATCTGAAAATCGAAGTTCAAAAACCGCACTCAGAAACAATATCCTCGTTTTCAGTCAATTTAACACCACAAACATAGGCAATAGAAAACTTTTTTTTGTCATTTTATTGAACGTTTAAATGCAGCTCAGATGTGGTGCGAACTGTTTCCCCAACATTTAGTTTTCCGGCATTAGCCATTCCTTTCGGCTCATCTCTCGCATTTCCCATTTTTACCGCTTTACCATTTCCGCAGATCAAGCGAATGGCAATGGCAATGGTAATGGCAAAGAAAGCAGAACCGAATGGAGGGAAAAGCAAACAGAAAAGCAAGCAGAACTAGATAATGTGGCAGGCGAATAAACAAATCTGGCTATGGGCCTCCACAACGCTGGTCAGTTCCGCACAACTCGGCGTAGAAAATGGACGCCGGCTATTCGCCCCGAAAAGTACGTGTGAAATAATCTTTATATAAGATTTATGTGTGTTTGTGAGTGTATCTGTGTTAACAGAAGTGTGTATTTATGCGTTATTAAATTAAATTTGGTCCAAAAATGCAATTAAAGAAAGTGAAATTTCCAGGGAATTGCAATAAAAAGCGAATTTAAATCAATAAAATTGATTGCGGCGTTGAGAGTGGTACAAAAAAAGCTGAAGGGGGCTTACAAAAAGTGGGGAAAGTGAATGGGAAAAAGCTTTTCCGGACTTGCTTCGATTTTGACTTTTGTTTGGCCAGATCATAGAACTGACCATCAGCCAGAAGAAATGCGTTTTTAATGTTCCAGCTACGTGGTAATGACAAAGACCGCCCATCTGTGGATGCCAACTCACCGGACTTCGTGGCCATGTTCGACCTTTTCCTCGTTCACCTTTCACTCTACACCCCTACCAAGCCGGATGTAATAAAAGCGAACGAAGACGGACATGCAGCGGAAGTGCAGCCCCCAACCACCCTCTACCAGACTTTGGCTGGCTCGTAAATTCGGATAGTTTCTGTTATTTACGGTCTGTTTGATTGCACAACAATGTGTTTATGTGGAAGGTGACATTTGTAATTGCCAAGGAAGCGGGCAAGTCGACCGACGACATTCGCACAAAGCCATAGTAGTAATAGTAATGGAAATAGTGGTCCGTGAGCGGGGTCAGGGGCAGGTTAAGGGACTAACCATAAATCGCGATGGTTATCTAACGAAATGTTTTTGGGCCAGAGGTCACTTGGTAACCATAAATCGAAAAAAAATTTTTGTTTTAACAAAGCAAGGCTGATGTTTAGAAGGTTATTATATTTTTAGAATTAACTAGTAATATTCATAAACATTTTATTTTAGTTTAAAGTTGATAGTTAATAGTCTTTAATATGGCAAACTGCTGCCTAAACCGAATTGGATTCTTTTTAAGCTTAAAATAAATCATATTATGGAATCTCATTTAATCAACTTATTTGATTTTTCGATTA